TTGTCGCTGTTGACGATCACCGCCAGATAGTCCATGATGACTTGCGTATCCAGCATCGTGCGGAAACGACCCATAGCTTGCCACACCACCCTGTCACGCATCAGCAGCTTGGAGTCCTTGAAAGCCTTGTGCATCTTGTCCCTGTCAACGAAACCGACTAACCTTCCGATGGACATCACGTCCGCACCCAATCTCTCAAGCTGCATCCACGCTTCGTGTGCGTAAGCCACTGCGGTCTGTCCGGCTTGCAAACTTTTGATCAGGTCGTCGCGCACCACCATCACCAAGCGCTCGCTTTTATTGCAAGCGGCTATGCGCTGAAGCGCAATGTGCAGCTCTGGCGACAGGCTCATGCTGAGTGCCTCTGATTCCCAAATTGGCTTCCCTACTCGCCACACGGAGTTCACGACCGGCCGCGCCGATGGCACGAGAGGCTCTGAAAACTACCTATCCTACGTAATATGCGATGCGGTCACTGCATTAACTGTACCAACTTTTCTTTGGAAGCTCCTGCCAAGGTTCTATTTCAAACTCGACACCAGAGTCTGTGTCACGGAAGATGCGAGCAAGATGCCACGTGCTAACCCAAAACCAATTGCAAAAACCGCTTACGAAAAACGACAACCATTTGAGCATTCCCCAGAAAGCCCTAAGCCCCAAACCCTCAAAACCCTACACCCCAAAGCCTCAAAACCTGAAAGCCCTAAACCCCAAACCCTCAAAAGCCTGCACCCCAAGCCTCAACACCTGAAAGCCCTAAACTCCAAAGCCTCAAAACCTGAAAGCCTGGACCTGCCAAGGGTGGGGCATTGACTCGCGGCTGCAGCGGCACCACCGGCGCAAAGTGGCGGAAGCCCGGCCGTACCTCGCAGTTTAAACCAAGAAATGTAGGGGCCTTGATAGGGCTTAGGGTTTAGGGTTCAGGGCTTAGGGGGTCAGGGGTTTAAGGGCTAATGCAGGCGCCTTAATAATTAGAACAGGGTTCTGGGGTATATCATACTGTAATTATAATGAGGAACCCCCGAAATAGTATAGGTAACTATTAAGGCCCCTATATTAACCCGAGTAACTTTCAAGATAGGGGCTTAAACCCTGGGATTAATGTGGGGCCTTCACACTTAACATTGGGTTTTGCTGGTGGGATATAACTGAATTACCTTTTGCTATGAAAGGATAAGAACTGCTCACCTAAACCCTAAACCTCAAACCCAAACATGAACCAAGCTTCCTAAGTTTCTCTCACTGGGCTCTGCAGCTCAAAGTCCGACAGCAACAGGAAGAAAGAGCTCCACTCCTGCTGTGTTACCTGCAGCTCGTGGCACTTGATCTCCAAGGCGTCTTCTCCTTTTTGCAAATCCGCCAGCTTCTTGCCAATAATCTAGGGGCCTTAATAATTAGAATAGGGTTTGGGGTATAATATACTATGTAACTATGATAAGGAACCCCCAAAGCCGTATTATTATTATTACTATTATTATTATTATTCGTATTATTTTTATTATTATTAAGGCCCCTACAATAATCGCCTCGGCCTTCCGCCATCCCATGGATCTTCGGCCTCACCATGAGCATCACAGTCGTGCAGGATTCCGATGCGTGCGACCCTGAAGCCTTAGGATTGTTTTTTGGGTTTTGAGGTTTAGGATCTCGGTTTTTGGGGTTCAGGGTCTGGGGTCTAGGATAACAAAACATCTCAGGAAGACCACAAATACTTTGCAGGTATGCTTCCGAATGTAATCAGCTGGCCCAGGTGTTGGCAGATTATGAACGTTTAGGGCTTGCAGGTGCAGTTTTTCGGGGTTTAGATAATGAAGGCTGATGGAGGGCCGGAAAATCCAATCCTGGTGGATATAGCAGGGTTGAAGTGTTGGGGCAAGGGCTGAGGTTTTCCGGTTTAGTGAGCTTTAGGCGTGTGGGGTTGAAAGGCCGACATTTGCAGATGGGGTTTGACAGCAGTTGATCTTGTGGCTTTTCCTGGGCGGCTTTCCTCTGCAGCAGAAGTCTGCACCATGGGATCATGGGACTAAATGAGGACCTAGTACTTCGGAAATGTAGCCGGGTGGACAAGTACCTTATGATTGTGAGTAATCGCACATGTACCCCTACTTTTCACCTACTTACTAGCCCCCTGAGACCCTACGCCACGGCACCTTCCATTCTCGAGAAAAGCCCACCACCGACAGTGAGAGACATCCCAAGGCAGCAACTGGGGCCACAGCTCCATGAACAAAGCCGTGCAGGAGATCTGAGACGGCATGCCATACGTACCTGCCACACAGAACCCCAAAGGGTCCAAGTAGTAATATGGTAGCTACTTTGTAGGTATTTGGGCCCCCAAAGTATATACTATACTATAACTTGGACCCTTTGGGGAACTGCTCCAGGAGCCAAGCATAGCACAGGTGGAACCCGGAAACCCAAGATGTGGAAACCTGAACCCCAAGCCCTTGCCATGGGTTGCTGAACGGATTTCGGGTCTCAGGCCTTCGGGCGCACTTAGACCTGAAGGTTTGGCCTTCAGGCTTCAGGGTTCTTCGCCATGGGGTTTTGCGGGTTTAGGGCTTAGGGTTTTAGGGCTTAGGGTTTTGGGTTGAGGATGTGCTTTGTGTGTTTTGACTTGGGGCCTTCGGCCTTTGAGTTTGATTATCGTTCTTCCGGAGGAGGGATGCTTTGCAGGTTGAAGCTACTGCTAGAACCCACTCAGCATCCCTTGGCGGGAGGCCACATTTGTACGGCATGTGATTTCTACCATAGTTCTATAGACAGATGATATTTCAACAAAAGATCGCTTCGCAACAACCCTAAGCCCTAAGCCCTAAACCCAATGTCAGTCCCTGAGGCCCTAGATACTCACGAGACTCGCTAGGATCTACGGTAGGTTCAAAATGGAGCTGCCATGGGAGTGCTTTACGTCTGGTGGGGTCTTCATGTAATCTGTGTCTTTATGAACGAGGATCATATTGTTATTTACTTGGGGTCTACAAGAAGAGTCCCCGGCTTCCTGAAAAAACCCTCCAAAGACTTTTCAAGTATCACGTAAGCAAGCAAGTAAGAAAACCCCCTGGTCGTCCCGATACACTTGTTCTATGCTGTGCCCCGAACCCTAGACCCTGCCTTAGTTGCTGAGATCATAAGCCACAAAAAGTGTACACTTTCAGATTCACAGTGGGTCATATTATCCCAAAAAGTGTAAAGTGTATCCACTCAGCTACCAAGCTGCACAATGCCACTATGCTTGGCCTACCTGCTCGGCTTTGGGATAGCTCAGGAAATCGGATTGTAGGACTTACCGAAGGTTGGGGTTGCACAAGCGTATACAATATGAGGATTTTAAGAATGAGAGGCTCAGGGTTTAGCCTTCGAGGCTTAAGGTTTAGGGGCTTAGCCTTTGGGGTTCTTTATGGTTTCAAATGGTTCTGGCTTCGAGTTTAAAGGCTCAGGATGGCTTCGGGCTTCCGGTCTAAGGTTGTCTATTCCGGGTTTAGGGTTTAGGGCTTAAACTGAAGGAACGATTGAAAACAACACGATGCTAAGGAATTTTGGGCTTACAAGTTTAATGCAGCGCACCTAGGCACCAGCCAAAGTTTCTCGATTCTCGGTTGGTCTCCTGGGCTCGGGAGTTGAGAACTTGAATGCTTGAGTGTTGAGAACGAATCGGTGGAAGGTTTCATGTTCTCTCGTTTCTAAGATCTGGATCTGGGTTTTTTGAGGAATCAGGCAGTAATACTCTAGGGCCCTGTATTACTTCCTGACTCTTCAACGCCCAAGCCCGACCGGTTGGGCGAGTGGATTTGCGCCACGTTTGCTGGATGCGTAAGTTACACTCCCCGTGCTCTCTGGAAGCTTTCGGGGTTTTGCTCTTCGGTCTAGAGAATTGAACTTTCCGGCTCAGTGATACGCCCTCAAAAAATTATATTTCACAAGCCGAAACTCCCTACATAGATGCTCACATACTTAGATGGTCACGGGACCCGGTAAGCAAGTTCAAGTAGGCCCGAAAAAGCTGGGATGGGACAAGAACAATTCCCACAAGGCGCCGGCTTCGAACATGAGGTATTCGTCTAGATAGGGCCCCTTAACTTTTAAACTTACCAAATGCTATTATAAAACTACCAAACTGAATTTTAGTCGTACCAAACCCTATGAGAACTTCCACTTCCCAGAATCGGAAGCCGAGGGGCGAAGCCGGGCAAAGCCTCACCAAACCAAGTTCGGCTGTCGCGGCGGCAGAGAACCTTGTCCCCCAAACCCAAGGGCTTCGGCTTTAGGGTTCAGGGCTTTGTGCTCAGGGCCGTGGGGTTTCGGATGTTGAGTGTTCCTCACATCCACAGATGCTTCAGTGAGCCTTAATGGGTTCTTTTAAGGGTTTCTAGGGTTCCATGATCGGTTCCTTTGAAAGCCTTATAAGGGTTCCAAACAGGGTCTAAGCTGTATGACCCCGGATCTCCCATGGAGCTTCTTTCAGCGTTCTGTTGAGGCGGATTCGGCTTGAGGGACCTGTAGGGTTTAGGATGGACCACAAGAATTCGGGACTTGAGGATCCTACAAACTGGATATGGAGCTCAGACAACCATTGGCCGGTCCATAGGTACCCACTGCTTGGGTACTTGGGTCTTGGAGTCTAGCTACGGGCTAGGGTTCTGTGTTTTGAGGGAGTACGTAGTCATGATGAAGACAGACTAGCACTTGGTGGGGGGGATGTATGCTTGCTGGTTACAAGTTGCGAGGGCCCTTAGAGTACATGGCCAGAACATAATCAGCAAGAACATCCCGTATGGTGCAGAGATTACTACACCCAGCACATCCTGCAAAACCTTCACAAGCCCAAACCTGATCCCTATAAGCTCCAAGCCCTCAACCCTAAACTGGCCCTAGACCCTCATTATGCCCAAACAAAACCCAAACCGACCGTCGAGCCACGCGCTCTTCTGCCAAGACTGAGCTCTGGAAACCTTCCTTATGCGAGTTCTCGTGCTTAGACGGTTTAGGGTTAGTTGGGTGTTGGGGTTTGAGGTTTAGTGTGGGTTTTTCTGTGTTACAAGGTGCTGTTTACTCTCAACGGTGTTGAGTAGTTGCTGTTTTTTTGATTGTCGTTTCAAGGGCTGTTGGGTAATGTCAGGTGTCAAGGGCTTGGGAATTTGCGCAGATGTAGGGTTAGGGTTTACGGTTTTGGATGTTGGCTACTCTTCGGGTGATTGTGTGTTTTGCTGTAAGTCGTTTGAGGGGCTTGTTGGTTGTGCTACAGGGTCTTCTGGGATTGTTGGGTCTCTAGGGTTTAGGGACCGCAGGTGTAAGGGTTCAAAGTTTAATGTTTCGGGTTTAGCGGTTTCAGGTTCAAAACGAAAGATTCACGGTTTAAGGCTTATGGCTTCTGTTTTGGAGCTTGGGCTGCGGGCTTGCGCGCTGGTGATCTGCGTAGGGTGCCTTTGACATGTTTTACACTTTGTCCGTCGACGGCATGTTGATAGATCTCTAAGTGCTGGTCTGCAAATGGGTAGTTCTCCTCTAAATTAGGGTCCCTTTGGGGGTCCATTTTACACGGGTGCGGTACTATATTTGGGACCGAAAAAGGGACCCTAATTTAGAGAACTACCCAAATGTTCTGAACCCTAAACCCTAAACCCTAAATGTTAAGTGTTCAGGGCATTGGCTTTAAAAGACGCCGGGCTCAAAGGATCTCAAATCCAAGGTTTGGTGACGTCGAGCGAAGGGTCCAGGTCGGGAAATGGGCTTTGTCAGTGTGCCTAGGGTTTAGGGTTTAGGGGTAGTTCTCCGAATGGCTCCTTAAAGCAGAGGATTCCGTTATAAGTTGATGGATCAATTTCAGAACATTTCAGGGGATACCCTACACACAGACCTGAAGATCCCTACAAACCCTAGACTTTGGACCTAAACTGACGTATCATAGTTCGCCCGAGAGGAAGCTATAGCTTCCTCTCGGGCGAACTAAGTTGCATGAAGCTTCCGAAGCAAAGCAAAAAGAGTGCGAGTACTCAAGAAAAAATTAGGCATAGATACCAAAAACCAGTCAGAGTACCACCTACGTTCTTGGGTACTTGGACTCTCCTGTAAAAACCCACGAAGAACCCAAAATCACCTCTTGAGTCTGCCGAAGGGCAAAAGTGAAGCCGTCGGCTACGTTGGGATCGCAAACTCCCTGGAGAGATCGCGATCAGGGTTTCGGGATGAGACTTATAAGTTTTAGGGTATGGGGCTTCGGGTTTAGGTGCTCTGTGAGCTTATTTATAGGATCTTCGTAGGCTTGTAGGGTCTACCGCATTGCGGACCAGATGAAGCCAAAGAGAGTTTCTGGCTCACATCCCATGCCATTTGTAGTATGGAGCTTCTGGTAACATACGTTAAAGCATCTTTCGGTTCTTACAACAGAAAAACTGGAATTTACGAAAGCTTGTGCTTTCTGAAGGATAGCTGAGGAATAGCACTTTATTTAGGGTTTGGAAGGGAGGCTTCAGCATGAATGTACTCTACGACCAGAACCACTATAGACTGGGTTTCAGGTCTCAATCTTGAAAACGCCCGAGGGATATGAACTGGTTCCTCTCATGGATCAACGCGGTTGAGCCGTGCCCAGTCTACATGGATTGGGGAAGGAACCCAACATGAGCACTCTACGATACACGAACAAGCAACAGGCTCCCCTGTCCGAGGATCTCATGGGCGCGAGCTGACTGAGGAACATGGGCCGGTCTCACATCGCACAATTCAGAAACGCCGCTGGCACATGCACTGAGTGGGAACACCAAAAATACTTGTGAAGTACGAGAAAAGTTCTCCCCGTAGCTTCGTAGAGGCTAAGGGGGCATAGTAGGTGGTAAGAAGGGTTTGAAACCCTGTAATGCCACTTGGGGCACTTACAGCACAGAATGGAACCGAACTATTGTGTCCTAAGATCCTGCAGGTAGAATCCCACACTCTGAACCTACAAACCCTAAACATTTGATTTACCCCCCCCCCCCCATAGCTTCAAAGTCCCCTGGCGCCCTGATTACGGTTGGAATTGTGTCTCCCTGGTTCAGCCTCCAGAAGAGGTACGGCAATCAACGCTCTGTAAGGCATGTCCAAACCAGTCCAAAAATGGACAGATCCTGAAACCTAGTCTCTTGTAAAACCTTTCCTTAAGCAACTGGCGGAAACCATCCCGCCATCTAAAACCCTAAGATCTCTACGATGCTTGTAAAACCTCCGGAAGGATCGCTCAGGGAAAACCTAAAGCCAGAAGAGCGGCCTCGTATCGGGCGCAGGTCTCCCTAAACCCTAAACCCTAAACCCTAAACCCTAAACCCTAAACCCTGGCCTCGTATCGCACGCAGGTCTCGTTGCAGTCGGCACCCGGCGGGCCCAGGAGGTGATTCCAGCAGGCCAGTTCCGACCTAAAGGCTCCATGAGGGTTCCAAAAAGACTTCTCTATTGAGTTTTAGGGTTTAGGGTTTAGGGTTTAGGGTTTAGGAAAAGGCTTCTCTATTGGGTTGGTTTTATTCGGATTTTGGGGGTTTAGCAAGGTTCTGCAAGGGTTCCATTGTAAGGGCTTTAGGCTGTCTTGAGGTTCTTAAGGTTTCAGCGTGATGAGGGCTATTTCAGGCTCGAAGTGGATCAGGGCTTTTTTGTTACGGCTTTTCTATGGCTTCAGAAATGTCGTCATGCGATGTCTATATTCAATTTTGAATTCAAAAGCTTGAAGGTTGGGCAATTGAGAACTACCTCAGGCGATGGGGAAGACGCACGTGGTAGGCAAAAGACCCAGCAACCATTCGCCACTCCGTTTTCCCAGCCCCCGCCCAGAATGAAAGACTCTTAAGACGCTAACTCTGGAGAACACCGTTAACCCAAATCCCAAGCTGAGACATCCCACAACCCTAAAGCCTAAACCCCAAGTCTCCTGAGCCCTGGTGAATCCGGTTCAAGCCTTGTTCTCCTTCAGCAATCTCCCTTTACTTTGGGGGCCCGGCGCATTTTCCATTTAAGGTCTAAGGACCAAGCTTCCAAGTATACCGAGCGCGACATCTTCCGTACACATTCAATTCAGGCGCGTCATAAGGTCCTCAAGATCCGTGGCTATTGCGGCCATGCGACCCTCAAAGCCTCAAGCCGAAAACCGTTCAGATATCCTGGACTCCCCAACTTGAAATGCTATTTCGGGTTTCTCAGGTCTACGGTTTGGGTCAAAGCCTAGACCCTAAATCCTTTTCAGTCCCGCAGTGGCTAAAGGAGGGGCCCGGCAAACCCCGAGAGCCCGGGACCGAAGACTCACATGTTCCTCCGAATGCCAACCTACATTTCTACGACCCATCCTCAACCCACGTATATAAATACTGCGTCCTGTGACCCTTGAAAACCATGTAAAACCTTGCCATTAAACCTCCATCGAAATACTCAAAAACCTGCATAGCACGTAACTTTAGCTGAGGGACGACGTTGAGGTATAGGTGCTTGTGCTGGTCCTCGTAGTCGTCCGCGTAGACGTTTCAGGCCTCAAATGGGTCTCACTCGATATCACATACCCACAAACAAAACAACTTGCGCGGATTTAATGATTAGACGACATTCCGTCAGAGTTTTTGCATCTTTGACGCCGCGGACATACAACCCGCACAACAGCAGGCCACTGTCATCGTGTTCCGTTTGCCAATGCCAGGCACCCGATCCACCCGGCAGGAAGTACTGGTTTATGCAGTGGCAATTGTGGTTGGCAGGGCCGCCTGGCATCGCTGTTGAAAGCCCTGCTTGCATCCGACGTCGAGGCGACTTCATAGCCAAACGTTTCGCCGGCAATCAGCTCTAAAACAAATCCTTTGTGCTCCAAAGCAGATCAGCGTAAGCGCGTGACCACGGCAGCACTGGTGCCGGAGCGCAAACTACTGCCCGTAGGTGAATCTGCTTCCTATCACCCACGACCGCAAGATGGTTTGGGGTTTCTGGAAAACATCCACCGACAGAACGCCACCAACGGCGTCTCTTACCGCAGAATGGAGACGATTTTTGGGAGATCCTTTACGCGGCCTACTGCAGGAGGTTCAGGTACAATCACAATGTAGCTGCCGGTATGGGCTGAGTAGCCAACTGACTGAGGGAGGGAGGGAGGGAGGGAGGGAGAG